GGAGCCACCCAGGCGCTCAGAAAAAAATTCTTGTATTAGCTTCTGACACCTATCTTTCACATAGCTCTCAGAGAAAGATAAATACCACATGATTTCACTCATATATGGAATTTAAGAAACAAAACAGATGAACAAGGGGAAGGGAAGGAAAAATAAGATAAAAACAGAGAGGGGGGCAAACCATAAGAGACTCTTAAATACAGAGAACAAGCTGAGGGCTGCTTGAGAGGTGTTGGGTGGGGAAATGAGCTAAATGGGTGAGGGGATTAAGGAGGGCACTTGTTGAGATGAGCACTGGGTGTTATAGGTAACTGATGAATCACTAAATTCTACTCCTGGAGCCATTATTACACTGTATGTTAACTAACTTGGATTAAATAAATAAATAAATAGAAGATCCACATGGAATGTTTATATATTCTTACTTTCTCACTACTGATTCTATTGTATTGTAATTTATTGGCCTAATAAAAAGGCCACTACACAATAGGCACTCAATAAATGCTGTTGATGGACACAATATGTAGTTGTACACTCTTTTTTTTTTAAGTTTCTTTATTTATTTTGAGAGATGGGGGGATGGCACAGAGAGAGAGGGAAAGAAAGAATCCCAAAGAGAGATTAGCAGACATATGAAATGCCAGCACTAAAACAGAAAAGTATTTTGTGACTATATTGGAATGATTATCTATCTACCTATTTATTTATATATCTATCTATCATATATATCCATCTGTCATCTATTTATCTTTCCATATACATGCACATACATGTAATGAAGTTATTCTACAGACCTGGGGCAAAAGGAAACCAAGAGGTCTAAGTCAAGTAAGCTCTTTTTATACTGTTAGAAGTCATAATTAGTAATCTTTACATTTATTTGGTTAGCCAGTTTCCACCACATAATGTAACTCTGGAAAAACATCCAACCTTTTGTCTGTAAGAGCAAGAGGGGTCACCGTGATTATTGTTCAGATGCCACTATAATCATAGAACACTAGTGAGTTAAGAATATTATGATTTTGGGGTGCTTTACTGGCTTGGTCGGTTAAGTGGCTGACTCTTGATTTTGGCTCACGTCATGAATTTAGGGTTGTGAGATCAAGCTCCACATTAAGACCCATGTCAGGCTCTGCACTCTCAGCAGGGAGCCTGCTTGAGATGCTCTCTGTGCCCCTCCCCTTCTCTCTCTCTTTCAAAACAGATAAATAAAACAGTAAAAAAAAAAGGAATATTATGATTTTGAAAAAACAATTCTTTCATATTTTATATTATTGTCTTACTGGCAAACTTGAACCAAGTAAAACAGATATGGCTAGAGAGAATTAAATTGTAAACTACTTCCCTTTGCTTACTTAAAAAATTTGAACCAGACCATCAAATGAGAGAATCTAACCTCTCTTCCCCAACACACTCCCATCTATAGGCATGTATTACCAAGTTAGTTGATTAAATAGAATGCACAAGAGAGAACTTAGTTCAGGCACTACTCAGGAAACTAAGGCTATAAGAATTAAAAACTATGAGCTAAGAGAGTATGAAAAGAGAAAGACATGCTATAGATTGGTATTCATATCTTTATACACCTGAATTTCTGGTAAACCCGCTCATATCCCACTATGACATTATTCACTGAAGTTCTCTTCTGGATATAGACAGCATGCTTTGAAAATGTAATTTAAAACTAACCAGATAAAAAATGACCCTTTAAATGATTTTCCCCTAGGCTGTAAATTGACTTGAGAGCTACACTACGTACCCAAAATCCAGGTTTAGACAAACACATTTTTCAGATTCTTCTCAGACATTTTGTCTCTTCAAGGATCTAATAAAAGTATCTTTCATGTCACTAATGAAATCAGTGATTCATAACAGGTGTTTTGCCTTCTGCAGCCGCCATTGTCAGGTGGCTCTAGGGTTCTAATTCTGCACCTTTGCTCATTTGATTATCAGATTTTGGTAAAGCTACTTATGTCTTTAGAAGGAGAAATAATCTTGTCAGAATTACAAAGATAATTTGTGTGAATTGCTCAGTAGAGAGTCTTGCACATGTGACTGGTCATGTTACTCCCTAATTAAAACCCTCGCATGGATTCTCAGTATCACTGGGAAGCTTAATATTGTTCACATGGCCAAATGAGTACCTTCATACTGGCCCTTGTCTCTGCCCTTACTCCCCTCTCTGTCCTTACTCCCCTTCATTTACCTGGATGTCTCCTCACTGCAGCCATGCCAAATTATTTACTCTTCTTTAAATTGTCCGTGCTATTTCAGGTCTCAGTGTTTTTGCTATTTCTTTACTACTCCTCTTTTGAGAATGAGCCCCAGCTTCTCACCTTCCACCAGATCCATTCATGACTGATTTATGCTAAATTAGGGCTTCTTCCCTCTGTTCTCAACACCCTTTGCATTGCATATCTTTATGATAGTACATGTCAGTAACCTGGTATTTTTAAATTAAATTTAAATTTTCTTCCCATAAATCTAGAGTATAAATTATGTGAAGGCAAAGGCTGTTGGTCTTATTAATGCTATATATTTTTTTATCCCCAGTGCCTCACACAGAGTATGGCACATATTAATTGTGCTATATGTCTTTGTTGGGTGAAAAAATATTACATTGAGTCATTGGTGAGTATGGGACCTTTTCTGATAAGGAATTTCAAAGTACTTCTCTTCTATATAACATATGAAAGATTTCTAGTCCTGAAGGTACAAGGAGTTGAAATTTAGAGTTAAAGCAAATTAAAATTTTCATATTTAGATCTGAACTTTTAAAAAAAATTAGACTAGATTATTTTCTCTCGAAGTACCAGATATACACAAATGACCTATCTAGATTTGGCCCTATAATTTTGTCTGAGAGTATGTTTTTGACTTAATGATATAATACTCAAAGATGTCGTACATTTTGAAAAGTTAGGTAAATTTCCTCATCTGTGAAATAAAGAAATAGAATGGAGATGCAGGGATGTAATACACAAAGTCTGAACAACACAATGACAGGACTCTTCTTGGGACCAAACTTTCCTTGAATTGCATTCTTTGGCTCGCACCTAGGCTAAGTCTTGACGTGTGAACAAGGGAAAAACAGTCAACAGGACATAGCAGGTATGACACTTTGAATATTTTTATATTGTTTTTAATTATGGAGTTATGTTTTGTGATAATTACAGTCTACTCCCAATAATTTCATCTCTAGCTTGAGAAGTCAATAGTGTCTGAAAGATTATAAATGATTATCACTGACATTAACCATCTAGGTTATAAGTGTTCTTTTTATTCATTAGTTTACTTTCTCTCCCTAAGCTGTGTTTCTTCTTAATTATGTCGGTGCCTTGCTACTTTTTAGTGAGGTATAGTTGTAAAAAAGAAGTTCTTATGAATTGATACTATTCATCAATGTAAAAGCAACATTCCTTCCATCACAGAATTTGAAATTCAAAAAGCTTCATTTTAAAAGAGTGATGATAAATTGAGAAACTGTGGCCTGTTTAGTGGTCTTACTATTAGCACTTTTTAATAATCCATTTTTTGTACTTTATTTATTTATTATTTTTAAAAATATAATTTATTGTCAAATTAGCTAACATACAATGTGAAAAGTGTGCTCTTGGTTTTTGGGGTAGATTCCCATGGTTCATCACTTACACACAACACCAGTGCTCATCCCAACAAGTGAAATGAAAGAACTTGACAGGATGGTAGACTTGTTCGGAGCACAGGCCTTGGAAGAAAATAGCCCTCATTTTCAAATTTTAACTTAGCTTCTCATTATCTCTCATTAGCTGGACAAATTGCTCTATTTCTCCAGGCTTCTGTTTGTCATAAGTAAAATTAGGAAAATAATACTTGTCTCATTGGGTGTTGAAAAGTTTAAATGAAATAATACATATAAAATACTTTATATAATATCTGGCATTTTTTTTAAATTTTTTTAACGTTTATTTATTTTTGAGAGAGAGACAGAGCATGAATGGGGGAGGGTCAGAGAGAGGGAGACACAGAATCTGAAACAGGCTCCAGGCTCTGAGCTGTCAGCACAGAGCCCGATGCAGGGCTCGAACTCACGGACCGTGAGATCATGACCTGAGCCGAAGTCGGCCGCTCAACCGACTGAGCCACCCAGGCGCCCCAATATCTGGCATTTTTTAGAGGCTCAATAAATGGTAGCTATTATTACTGTTATTTATAAAGAATTTTTATAATAAATTTGCTATTCTTGAATTCTTAAGTAAATATGGGTATTTTAGCAATGATGAGAAAATATTTTTATTATGATTAGATATTTGAACATTTTCCATAGAGGAACATGGCAAAAGCCACCCATATTATCTTTACACAGATAGCAGTAAGATAGGTTTCTAAAAGCAAAAAAATGAATTCAATAACAGGGCAGGATTTAGACTGAATAAGACATTCCAAAGCCTATGTTACATGACATTGGAACACCTCACCTTCATCTCTCATTTTGATTTTCAACACTTCAAGGCTATGGAACTAATTTGAGTTTCTAATTAAGCCCATGTGTCTATATTTAAACTTATAATGTACACTTCAGTAGAGTTTTTCTCCTGACCACTGTTTTTATTGATCTAAGATAATAAGCCAAAGCTGCACAATTTTGAACTAACTGCTAAAATCATTTGCTCATGGCTTTATTCTCTTCCAAGTTTTCATTAGTATCATATTATGATGCCAAGACTGGCAAACAATTAGGCTAACACCACCCATTGAGACTCTATGTTACAGCATGAGTGATGAATTCTGCATAAAGAAATGTATCTGGGCTACGTTACAATTGTGGTAGAACAGGGCATTTCATGGAGGAATTTAATGATAGCAACAAAACATTAACTGAAATGACTATATGAGTATTTACAGGAACAGAATCCCATTTGATGAGACTATTCACAATTGGGAACATTAGATTTTTAACTCAGGTCAGATTGGAATGGTATAACTTAACATCTTATTTTATATGTTTGTGCAAAACTTACTCTCATCTCCTGTTTCAAATTCAAACTTCTGGCTATAGCCACTGTATCCTGTTGCAGTCCTCACTCGGATATGAAATATGTACTTGGTGGCTGGCTTGAGGCCTGTGATGATGACACTGGGCGCCTTGGACCTCGTGGAGGAATAGGTGAGCTGCTCATGCTCCTGGGAATAGAAAAGAGGAGAAAGGAAATGAAGCAGAGTTTTTCCACTTTTTCCCAGGCATATTCCCAAATTAAGCTGAGGAAGTATGCTCTGAATATCAAAAATATTGATTAAAAAGAGGTGTAAGCATGGTTTCCCATAAGTTGGCACTTATTTATCACTATGATGCACATGATATGGTCTTGATTTGGAAATTTATTAAGAAGCATGACTATCTTATATAAGCTTGCACTTGGAGGTTTGGTGATTTGGATTTCTGCTCCAATTCTAAGGAATGGTGGTGGCGTGAGAGCACGTTTACACAGAATGGCAGCTGCACCTTGAGCAAAATGGGCACATCAGATCAGACCACACCAGCAGAGTGCAAGGAGCAAGGGTGGGAGGGTTCAAGTCCCCGCTACTCACTTCTACCCGCAGGTAGTGCCAAAATGCCGGCGCTATCCGTGGGTAGACCTGTGGGTGAAAGGAAAAATAAATTAATTGTTTTTTTTAATTTGAAGTATTTTATCCCGAATCAATTACTTTGTTCCAAAACTCAGCGATGTCCCTGTAGTTGTTAACTACAGTGGAGTCCAGCTTGAAACATAAAACTATGAAAATTTTCCCTTAAGGGAGAACTGACTCCTTCCCCACCTAGATATTGCAGTTTATTTTTTAAAGATGTAAAAACTTGTGACGTAGGTTTTAACATAGTCTGTCCAAAAAGGAGCATCAAAAACAGAGAAGGTATGAAAGACTTACCACACCCGTGGAATCAGAGGCAGGGCTGGAGCCTTGGTTCCCAGTCACCTGCAGTTAATTGCAAAACTACCTCCCCTCACTAATGGGAAGGGTTTACCACAGCTGATCGAATGATCTGGTCAGTCAGGGTCTTTTAAGGGGGCTCTCTTGCCCACCAGCTCAGAACAGGATAGTTCATTTTATCCATGCATGTAAGAGACTGTCCACAACATGCTGGCAATGGAGATAAATTAAACTTAATACTATTTTTGTACAGTGTTATTGTTCAGTAATTTTATACTGATATTTTAATAGGTGAAAACACTGTATTTGTGTGAATAACTCTTCTAAATTCATAAGTCAAATTAGGTCACCAGGTCCTTACGTTAATTCTCCACTCTTCTCAGAAATCTGAAGATATTCTCAGGGATGGAAGGGACTTTCAAGATCATTAACTGAATCACTCATTTGACGCCTTAATTCTATCTATATTATTCCCATCAAGATTTCATTTAGCCTTTGCCTGATACTCTCTGTTGTTCAGATCTTCCAGACTAACAAATGAAGTTATAAAAATCTACACATGTGTAGATTGTGTCAAACTCCATTTATTTGCTGGTGATGCTTTAAGATTTAGAACTATGGAAATCATTTCACTTCAGCTACTTTTCAGAAAAACATCCTAATCTTAAAGATCATTTAAAAATTTTATGGCCCTATTTGTCAGAACATTACATGCTACATGTTATTCTGAGTCTAGCTGAGGAATTTAATTTGCCATGTATACCCTAAATAGAACTGTTTATTCAACACAAAAAGAAAGAAAAAAATGAGTTAACAATAGCAACATTTTACTAAAAAAGACAAAAAGATAAATTGCAGTTTATATTTACCGCTAAGTAATTTTGAGATTAGGAAGTAAATAAATATCTACCTAGCATAAAATCCAAAGAAATATAGTCTCTAAAATAATTAATGGGAGGAATCATTTAAGGGCTAAAATAAGGAGCTAAGATCAAGGCCTTTATAATTAGGGAGCTTAGCACTCATATTTTAGAGAAAAAAAAAACCTGCTCATGTGCCATTAGAAGAAGTGATAATGTTTCTGGTAGAAATCTGCAAAACTTTCTGGATTTTCAATCTCACAGTAGGAGAATATTCCACCTTTCACAGAATTTCCTGAAATGTAAGTGTTATGGTACATTTTGAGTAGTAGTTCACAATATGAAATGATGACTGAGAAAAAAATTGTAAAGCCGTGAAAAAATAAATTTTGTCTTATCCTTGAAGAGAGAAGATACAGATTTCAAAAATCTACTTTTAGACTGGCAGCACACCAATTACACATTATGTCTTTGTTGCTTCATCAAAATGTAGCTAAATAGTAATTTCTTAGTAAAGTTACAGGCAGTAAAGGACACCTTTTGCAAACAGCTTTTAGCATTTCTGCTGTTATATACAAAAGTGTATCTGTAGTTGCATCTCTGGAATAAAAATCCCCAGGTAGGAAATGTGTGTACATGGTTCCTCAGCCTAAATGACAGCAGTGTGTTGATGGGCTGCCTTGTCTTAACATCTTGCCACGTCTCAGCCTGCCAAAGAGGAGGCCTCAGAACGCAGCAGTCATGAGAGTTCCTCTTTCCAGGGTACAGCAGCCCTCTCTCCTGGCATTTCCAAGCTCTTGGGAAATCAGGGTAGCACTTATCCATTACAAGCATAGAGCACTAGTGTCCCAGAACTTTGGCTAATTGCCTTTCTGCCAACGTGTCAATTCCAATTCTAAGCAGCTGTCACCGGGTAGAGACCATCCTTTGCCACAGAACCATCTAGTCCTCTTTATTCATCCTCACAGGCTGAACTGTGGACATGTTTGAGTAGGATATGTGTGCAAGTTTTTCTGGAGTTTGTGCCATGATGGAATTGCTGCTTTTATGACATAGATGTTTTCAATTTGCTAGGTAACACATCCCACTGTTCATAAAACTCTTAAATGTGTTTTTTGTATTTGCTAAATCCATAGTTAAATAGCTTTTGCATTCTTTTTTTTTTTTTTAATTTTTTTTTTTAACGTTTATTTATTTTTGGGACAGAGAGAGACAGAGCATGAACGGGGGAGGGGCAGAGAGAGAGGAAGACACAGAATCGGAAGCAGGCTCCAGGCTCTGAGCCATCAGCCCAGAGCCTGACGCGGGGCTCGAACTCACGGACCGCAAGATCGTGACCTGAGCGGAAGTCGGACGCTCAACCGACTGAGCCACCCAGGCGCCCCAGCTTTTGCATTCTTAATGCTATTTATTTTTGTAGTTTCTTTTCTTGATCAAGCTTTCCAGAGGTTTGAACCAACTTTTGGCTTTGTTAATCGAATTGCATCTTTGTTTTCTATTACATTTAAAATCTGCTTTGACCATAAATGATTTTCTTTCTTCTTTCTTCCTTCTTTGTGTTATGTAGCCTTTTAACTTACTGCATTTCATGCTTAACTCATTAATTGTCAGTATATCTTTTCAAATAGACTATGTAAAACTACAAGTTTTGCTCTAAGTACTGCACTATCTATACTCCATAAGTTTTCATATCGTGTATTATCAACCAGTGCTAAATATTTATTAATTTCCAAAGCTAGATGATTTTTAAATTCTTTGTAGTAGATTCAGGATTATCACTTGTACACTTTTATGGTTCACGACAAGTTGTCAGGCAATAAATAAGTGGCATAAAGTGAAGCTCCAAAGGCATAACCCCACTGGTTGCAAAGCACACTGAGCTGTGGATAGGACAGTGGATGCTCATTGCTGGGTGCACTGGCAGTCTTCTGCAGTAGTGTTTGCTGCTGAAAGTAAAACAGCTTGTTGTACTCTTTCTCCTTGGATGAGCATGGATAAGAGCACCAACTGTGAGAAAAAACATTTAGTAATGATGTACTTTAATATATTGCTATGTATGTCATTAAAAATCATTAATATAAGGGTGCCTGCTGGCTCAGTCGGTTAAGCCCCATGATGTGGGTCATGATCTCTCGGTTCATGGGTTCAGGCCTCGGGACGGGCTCTGTGGTGACAGCTCAGAGCCTGGAGCCTGCTTCAGATTCTGTGTCTCCCTCTCTCTGCCCCTTCCCAGCTTGCCTGTCTCTCTCTCTCTGTCTCTTTGTCTCTCTCTCTGTCTCAAAAATTAAACACTAAATATATATATATATATATACACACAATTTCTTTTTTATATATTTGTATCTACACATGTATTTTAAAATAGTTCAGAACCAAATAGTGTGAACATTGGACATTGTCAAAAAGAATGTATTTGCACTGATCTCTAGAGATATTCACCTTCACTTACCGTTCTCTTCCCATGGGTAGACCCTACAGCTTTCACTCAGACACTGCTCCTTCCCAGCTGCTGAGAATCAATGTTTTTCGGGGAAATCACTTTAGACCTTTCATTTAGCTAAAATACTGAATCTAGCTTTACCTCTATAGACGTCAACTCTTCAGGGTAACTAAAAGACATGTTTTTACCAGATTCTGGATCCTGTTAGCATTTAATCTAAAAACTGTAACTTAGTGAAAAGGAATAGGCTAAGGTGCCCAGTTCCTGGGGCTGCATCTTTCTAAAATCAGTGTGCAGGGCACCTGGGTGGCTCAGTTAGTTAAGCATCTGACTTTGCCTAGGTGATGATATCACGGTCTGTGAGTTTGAGCCCCGTGTTAGGCTCTGTGCTGACAGCTCAGAGCCTGGAGCCTGCTTCACATTCTGTGTCTCCCTCTCTCTCTGCCCCTTTCCCGCTCACACTCTGTCTCTGTCTCTTTCAAAAATAAACATTAAAATTTTTTTAAAAAAATCAGTTTTTGAATGGCCTGTATCAACAAAAGACAACATGTAGAGAATTTTGGGTTGAACTTTTCTTGCCTTGATCTTGGTCTTTGTTCTGCTTGGGTTATGTATCTTGGTAAATCACATTGAAGACTTGGATTTACTTATACATTAAATTCATTCATTCCAGAGACACTGAATGCTCACTATACTTAAGGAAGGGCTCTGGGGCACTCTAACAGATATAGATTAAATAATCACCAAAGTTCCAAGTAAGCAATTAAGTCCCCTCTCTTCTCCTGTAACTCCTTCTCACCACTCCTTACCTCACTCTTGGTTTACCACTCTCACTAATGGAAGTAGATTCAATGGGCCCACAAAGGGGTCATCATTTAGCTAGTTTTCGTTCTCTTAAAATTTCTGGGTCTAGTGAGACTTCCGTAAGATGTTACTTCTTTGACTTTTTTTTTTTTAATTTTAAATTAATTGGATTATATATTGATTAAAAATTGTTTTAGACTTTTTTCTACATTTAGATCTAAAGATATAGCAGCAATCATAAGAAAACCACATTTATGCAATCCTTTATAATACACAGTCTTTATGTGATATTCTTAATAATCTTGTGAAGCAAGAACTGATAAAATCTTTATTCTCACTTAACATATGTTGAAATTGGTCAAGATACAATAAGTAACTTACCAAAGCAAGTCGCCTAACTAGTTAGTAGTTTTCATTCAAGTTGTGTTTTTCCACTATATCCAACTAATGCAGATATATCCAGGGCAAATATGCTTATAGATTAAACTTTGAGTCAAGGTCGCATCTTTACATTTTACATTATTGATTATCGAATCACTAGAAATAACTTTAAATATAACACAGGCTATGAGCCAGATAGTGATGATTTGATGGCATTAGAATAT